TTTTTTTTTTTTTTTTTTTAATGTGATTAAAAAATTTTTAAATTTATCTTTATTGTTGAAAGTATTACAGGTGTCCCATTTTCCCCCCAACTGACCCCCTCCATATTGCTCCCACCCCCTCCCCAGGCCTTCACTNTCTGGCACTCCAATAATACAAATGTTGAGCCTCTTGAAGTTGTCCCAGAGACTCCTGACACTCTCTTCATATTTCTGGATTCTTTTTTCTTTTTGCTCTTCTGGCTGGTTGTTTTTTGTTTCCTCATGTTCCAAATTGCTGATTTGATTCTCAGCATCCTCTGCTCTACTGCTGATTCCCTATAAATTATTCTTCATTTCAGTTCATGTTGCCTTCATTTCTGATTGGTACTTTATTATGTCATCGAGGGTCTCACTTGTTTTCATAATAGTCTTACTAATATCCTTGAGCATCCTTGTAACCATAATTCTGAACTCTGTATCTAGTAGCTTGCTTGGTTTTATTTCATTTAGTTCCTTTTCTGGAGATTTCTTCTTTTCTTTCCTTTGTGACATGTTTCTTTGCCTCCACATTTTGGCTGCTTCCAGATGTTTGTTTCTATGTATTAGGTAGAGCTGCTCTGTCTCCTGGAATTGGTAGAGTGGCTTTGTGTAGTAGGTGTCCTGTAGGCTCCAGTGGTTCAGCTTCCCCAGTCACCTTAGCTTGGTGCTCCCCTATGTGGGCTGTGTGCACTGTCCTGTTGTAGTTCAGCCTTGGTTGCTGTCCCTGGGAGGAACTGACCCCGAGGCTAATCAGCTGTGAGGACCAGCTGCAACTATAGCCAAAGAGCTGCTGTGCTGGAGACACCCCTGTGGAGCAGGATTTACTTCAGTGGAGCTTTGGTGTTCACCAAGTGCGCCCCTTGAATGTGTCACTCGTGGATGTGGTAGGGTTGTAATCCAGCGTGGTCAAGTCTGACCACCAGGTGCACTGTCTCTGGGGCCTCCTGGAAGGTGCAAAGTCAGCCTCTGCCTGGGCCTTGCCCAGGGCCACTCAGCATGAGCTACACAGCAAACCGTAGTTGGCTGCTACTTGTGCTGGGCTTGGCGTTGTCCAGGAGAGGCCAAGCTATGAACCAATACAGGCTGCCGCTAGTGCCAGGCCTAGGGCCACTTATCAAGCTGTATGGGGCCCGCTGCTGCTTGTTTGAGAGATTTTAGGAAAGTCCTAAGCATGAGGCTGGAGAGGCCACTTGCACAGAAAAGCCCCTGGAAATGGCCTGGATGAGCCTGCAGGTGGGGAGGGGCGGGGCCTCTGGGAATCACGGGCGGGGCCAAAGGTGTGAGTCAGGTGCTGGCGATTCAAATATGGCGCCTGCCTTCCGGCTGTGTGCAGGGAGGGACTCCCCACAGGAGCAATGGCCTCTGCCAGCTCTTCTGCCTGGGAGAAAGCCGCCCCTCCACCTCTCGCCCCAATTTCAGGCAGGTTAGTTCCTCCCCAAGTGTCCCGGGTCCTTTCAGGCTGCTGCCCAGCACTGGGGCTCAGAGGGAGCATGTCTGAGTCAGTGCGCAGGCCCTTTAAAAGGAGAACCTGGGACTCCCTCAGCCTCCATGACCCTCTGTGACAGTCCCCACAGGTTTTCACAGCCTGCAGTTGTGGGGAC